TATTCTGTATTATTTTAATGATAACTTAATGATTCTGATGAGGACACCAAAAGGTACTTTATGGTGATATGAAACTCTCTTTGTATAACATTTGAAGACTGCATGCATGGTAGAGCATCACTAAGACTGCTAAGGCTGACATTGAAAAGCATCAGATTTGGAAACGTTTTTCATGTCAATAACATATTGACTGTTGAAACACACCATTAAAGAAACTTTATACAACACCAGATGATTAAGAACACGATACCAAGCCCCACAGCCACATGGTTCAGTGTCCTCGCCATCCTGCTGGTCCGCTCCGCCATCACCTGGTCGCCGGCTTGGTTTGCCTTCCGGGTCTGAAGGTAAAAATAATTATAATAAAATAACTGAAAGTCCTTCTCTGCTCCAAAGTATATTCTGGTCATTGTTACTTCACTTTAATATTTTATTTAAATACTATTCGCATTTAGACATTCATCAGGTGAGCACAAGATGGACACAGTTGTGCACTCCAAGATTTCAATGTGAAAAAAGTAATTAGATATCAATTAAAAAAGACACAAGAAAGTTAAGAAATAGAATTGCATTAAAAAAACATAAAATTAATACATGTGTAACATAATGCTGGTAAATAAGATAAATTTAGTGAATAGCCAATATTTCAAAATAATTTCTTTAAATATGAAAGTGTATGTGTTGTAGTGTGTACAAAACTAATTCAACCAGAAAAGTATTAATGTTTGGGAAGGACTTATAGAATCTTGTGTCAAGCTTGACAATTACATTACACATTCTAAAGTGTTTGTCACGCAGCTCAAGTCTTTATTTCACTAAAATTTAGTGTCTTTAGTGTTTTAGGCATAATTGTGAAAGAATAAACATATCTATGTCCTTCCAATAAGCAGGCGAAGAGAAGCAGAGACAAAAGTATGACTGCTTAAATTAATATCTAGTTCAATGAATTTAAAAAAATAAATAAATAAAATTCACATACATGCATTTTATATACAGTTTTAAAATTTACTTTCCTGATCTTGCTGGAAACAAAAACTTAGAAGGGACATAACCTTAAGTGTATATTAGGTTTTCTTCAACATTAAAATCTTTAAATCTTTCTGTAAAGGTTTGTTTTAACATTTCAAGTCTGTTCATTTTGTCCTTCCAGCTTCCAGAGGCCTGGAAGCACTGTGAGAATCATGTTCTATGACTTCTCCAGCGCTTTCAACACCATCAAGCCAGAACTGGAGTACATAGGAGTGTGCCACCAGCTGACGTCATAGCTCCTGGACTTCCTCACCAACAGGCCACAGTTTGTGAGGACGAAAGGCTGTATGTCTGAGACGGTGGTCTGCAGCATGGGGGCACCTCAAGGAACTGTTCTGGCTCCTCTACTGTTCACCATTTACACAACCGACTTCACCCACTTCACATCAAACTGTCACCTGCAAAAGTTCTCGGATGACTCTGCCATCGTCAGTCTCATCAACAACGGAGACGAGAAGGAGTACCGAGAACTAAACCAGAACTTTGTGGCCTGGTGTCAGCAAAACTGCCTCCAGAGTAATGCCGGAAAAACCAAGGAGCTGGTGGTTGACTTTCGCTGGCACAAAATCACCCCTCCCTCTCCGGTGAACATCCAGGGAATGGACATTGAGATAGTGGACTCTTACAGGTACTTGGGTGTTCACCTGAACAACAACCTGAACTGGACTGTAAATACTTGGATTCTGCACAAAAAAGACCAGAGCAGACTCCACCTGCTGCGCACACTGAGGTCCTTCAGTGTGCAGGAAGGCCTCCTAAGGACTTTTTATGACTCGGTGGTGGCCTCAGCTATTTTTTATGGTGTGGTCTGCTGGTTCCTTATCTTTTGTATATCTTTATATGTGTGTATGTTGTGTATGTAAAAATACTTATACATGCATATGCATAGACACACACAAACAAATAACAGGAAGCGGTCTGAGAAATACCCAAAGCCACAACCGAACAGAATCAGAAGTCAGGTGTCTTAGAGTCA